AAAAAAAAATTCCTGAAAACATGGAAGTTTTAAAAAATGTACTTAATATTGCTAATTATAGGAAAATGCTTTATGTTAAAAAAATTGCTTTTACAAAAAATATATAGATATATTTAAAGTATGCAAGCATTTGGTATCGTTTTTTTAAAGTGCATATAAAGTATTGTATCATCTTTTAGAATTTAGTGTTATTTTTCCATTCTTACATTGTAATTTCCTCAGTATTTTCTATATATACTGTATATAGACTATATGTTTCCCGATCTTTCCGAAGTGCGTCAGCTCCGAAGGGGGCCCGCAGTGTCCTTATCGCCAGGCGACTTGAACCCGTGACCCAGACGGGTAGACAGGCAGATATAGGTGATAAGCGAGACGCAAATAGCTTTGCTCCCATCCATGGGGGGTCGTATTCTCGAGCCTGAGAGATTGATGACCCAAAATTATGGGTGTTGCGGGTGATATAACACCTATTTTTTGACCAATCTAATCGAGAAACTAGCCCACCTCAAGTGGTTGCCATGGTGCATCCACCCGAGGCTAATCTCCGCTTGGCGATAGCTTCGCCCGCCGCCTTATCAACAGAACTTTTCCAATGCTATGTGAACCCATTGAACCCATCCTTATTTGTGATTTCTCGCAATTCTCGCGGGAATATAAATATTTTTGTTGTTTCGAAATGAAATGAAAACATAACGGATGGGTGCGGATAGCTGACCAGGCAGGGATCGATTTTCCACAGCCAGCACAAATCCAACGATCGTCTTGGCAAACGCATCGTATTGCCAGTAGTCTGGACTCTATATAAACTATATATTTGTATACTAACCAGTATATTCCCGCTATCCAAATAGGACATGGCCGACCAGAAATTGCTGCAAACCCCGCTGGAGCAGGGAGATCCGGAGTTGGCCGATCTGATCAAGAAGGAGAAGGAGCGCCAGCGCGAGGGTCTCGAGATGATCGCCAGTGAGAACTTCACCTCGGTGGCGGTACTGGAGAGTCTCAGCTCTTGCCTCACAAACAAGTACTCCGAGGGATATCCAGGAAAGCGGTGAGTGTAGATCGTACTATACTCGTATGATATAATGTTTATAGAGAGAGACCCATCAGTTGGGTAAAAATATCTATCGGATTAGTTAAATACCCATTTTTTTATTTTTATAAAAGATATCGGAATAGTTTAATACTCCTTTTTTATCTTTATCATAGGTAAACGATTGTTTATTATTTCTGTACTCTATCATAAGTATTTATATCATATTATATATAAATATAACTCGGTTGGAATATTAATAGAATGATCTTCATCTTTCCTAAACCATAAAATATCCCTTCGCATTATTTAACTCTTAATCGGATTAAAAAATTCTTTATAAAATAAATATTTATATCATAACTTTGGAATATAAATAGAATGATCTTCATCTTCCCTAAACCATAAGAGATCTTTAGAATTATTAAACTCTTAATTTGATTAAAACCCCAATTTATCATAGGAAAACGATTCTTTAGAATCATTATCATAACTATATATATGTACATATATAACTCGTATGGCATATTGATATAATGATCTTTACCTTTCCTTAACTATACCAGATCCCTTGGAAGTGATCCTTGCTTTTCCCCTGACTATGATATTATTGAAAAAAGACCTTTGCCCATTAGAACCCCAAGTGATCCTCGCTTGATAATGGTTTATTCTATAGATGTTATATCAAATAATAACACTTTATGAATGATATTATTAGAACAAGGTCTTTGCCCACCATAACAACAAGTAATCCCTTACTAATCCTGGTTATATTTCCGATTCCCAGGTACTACGGTGGCAACGAGTTCATCGACTGCGTGGAGCTGCTTGCCCAGAAGCGGGGTCGCGAGCTGTTCAACCTGGACGAGGACAAGTGGGGCGTGAATGTTCAGCCCTATTCCGGATCCCCGGCCAATTTGGCAGTCTACACCGGTGTCTGCCGTCCCCACGACCGGATTATGGGACTGGATCTGCCCGATGGTGGTCACTTGACCCATGGCTTCTTCACGCCCACCAAGAAGATCTCGGCCACGTCGATTTTCTTTGAGAGCATGCCGTACAAGGTGAATCCGGAGACGGGTATTATTGACTACGACAAGTTGGCGGAGGCGGCCAAAACCTTCCGGCCGCAGATCATTATTGCCGGCATCTCGTGCTATTCCCGACTATTGGACTACGCCAGATTCCGCCAGATCTGCGATGATGTGGGTGCCTATCTGATGGCCGACATGGCCCATGTGGCAGGCATTGTGGCAGCCGGATTGATTCCATCGCCATTCGAATACGCCGACATAGTGACCACCACCACGCACAAAACCCTGCGTGGTCCTCGCGCTGGAGTGATCTTCTTCCGCAAGGGAGTGCGCAGCACAAAGGCGAATGGAGAGAAGATCCTGTACGATCTGGAGGATCGCATCAACCAGGCGGTATTCCCATCCCTTCAGGGTGGTCCACACAACAATGCCGTGGGTGGCATTGCCACTGCTTTCAGGCAGGCCAAGACACCGGAATTCAAGGCCTACCAGTCGCAGGTCCTCCGGAATGCCAAGGTCCTGTGCGATGGCCTCATCTCGAGGGGCTATCAGGTGGCCACCGGCGGCACCGATGTCCATTTGGTCCTGGTCGATGTACGCAAAGCGGGTCTGACCGGAGCCAAGGCGGAATACATACTGGAGGAGGTGGGCATTGCCTGCAACAAGAACACGGTGCCGGGTGACAAATCCGCCCTGAATCCGTCGGGCATCCGTTTGGGCACTCCCGCGTTGACCACTCGCGGTCTGGCCGACAAGGACATGGAGCAAGTGGTGGCCTTCATCGATGCCGCTTTGAAAGTTGGCGCCCTGGCGGCCAAATCGGCCAGCAGTCCCAAGTTGGTCGACTACCACAAGGTGCTGGCCGAGAATGCGGAGATCAAGGGCCAGGTGGCCGAGATCCGCAAGAACGTGGCCCAGTTCAGCAGGCAGTTCCCGCTGCCCGGCTTGGAGAATCTGTAGGCGAAGTCTCTCTAACAACCTCGTTATTTTCCGTTTTTTTTATTTGCACCTCGAAAACAGCTTTGAAATGCACACTACACAAAAAAGAAGTGGAACTAGAACTTAAGTTATTAAAGGCATTTTAACTCACATATCATAAGTATGGTTTTTTATTGGGGGTTGGAATTTCGAGTATGAATGTGTGTACAAGAACTAATGAGTAATATTAACATAAAAAATTAGTAAGTCAGTCGAATATCATATAAACAGCTTTCAAAATTAAGTTTAAACTTTTCTAGGATTTACAAACAGGCTAGGTATTTTCATTTTTTATAAGTATTAAGCCTTTAAGATTTCCGTTTGGCTTAGAAAACTTCATTTTTGAAAAAGTTAAAAACAAAAAAGTCAGTCGAAATCAAATGAACAGCTTCTAAAATTAAGTTTAACATGTCTAAGGCTTATAAAAAGGCTATATGTATATTTATCCATCTTTTTAAGTATCATCAGCCATCTAAGATCTCTTTGCATTTAAACAAAAATTCATTTTTGAAAAAAAGTTAAAAACATTTAACAATAAAAAATTAGCAGCTTCGTGGTTTTTAGAAAGATTTAACCAGAAACCATTTCTTACTTTAAAAAATCCACGCATTTAATGGTTTAAAATTACTTTCCCTGACCAAGAACTACAAAAATTGTTAAGAAAACAGATTACATTTTTACATGCGTTAAAATATCTTCGCAATCGATTAATTCAGAAAAGATGCGAGCAAGGTGACAAACAAAATAATATATCAAATCCTTTTGAATAAAAATTGGACTCTAGGGTTTCTGTTCTTAAATACAAACTTATTCAAAGTATACAAGTTAGCCATAACAATTGACATAAACGTTTGTATAACTTTTTGATTTCCAATAGTAATTGCTATAATTAGAAAACAAACGGCATGCCACAAGTAGAAACCCATGTAATATATGATACAATATGAGCTAATTGTACGTATGTATACTCTTCATACTTAATTCTAATGAATGGCGAACTGCGATTCAGTGATCGGAGTACTCGATCTTACTGAATCCCTTCGAGGAGCAGCCCATTTCGCGATGGAAGCGGGAGTTGTGGGTGGACAGGGACCACTTCGTTTTGAAGCTCTTTATGCAGATGAAGCACTCGTGCTCCTTGCCCTGGATCTCCGAGTGCCTGGATGCAATGTGTCGCCGCAGAGCGCTCACCGACTTGAGGTGTCTATTGCAGAAGCAGCAACTCAGTGGAGCAAGTCCAGTTTCCTGAACGGTTTCCTCATCGCTTCCCGCTGCCGCAGGTGCAGTGCGTCCGGTTTTCACAGCTTCTGGTGCACTGCTAGCTTCAGTTCCTGGCTCCTGTTTCACTGAAGCTGAAAGACGAAATAGTTTTTTATTAGAAAAATGTATAAACCAAGTTGGGAAACCCTTTAAAATATACACAGTAAAAAAATAAGTTAACTTTTAAATGGTTTACATGTATTCTTTTATTTTTTCGCTCTCTCTCTCTCTTTCTTTCCTGCTTTTTAGCTGTCTCTTTCTTTTTTCTGTTTCTAGCAAAACGAATTAAATTGATTAATTTAGTTTCATTTCGTTGATGTGTATAGATCAATCTACATACACATGGCTTAGATTTAGTGTTTTTGGGGTGGAATTGGAATCTCCGATAATAATCGCTATAGTCATGGCTGGACTATCTGCTGCCCAACTGCCCGAAAACTGACCAGTAAACCCATTCCGGCCGTAATCATATTAATTTCTTTCGTTGATAAACTCTCTTTTCTCTGAGATCCTAAGCAAAAGTGGGGGAAAATGGTGGTGGGTGGGTACTTTTTTTTGGATTTTCCACGCGATTACGACCGAGGGTTACACCGATGCAGTCCAAACATTGGGCATTTAGAGATATAACATTAACTATATGTGTATACATAGATCAATATGTGGATCGATAAGTAATACGTATGAGTTTTTTTTCATTTAACTAGATTATCTTTAGTATGTATCCGTGTATGTGTTTTTTGAGTTTTTGTCTTAGAGAGGATTTCTACAGGTTTTCTTATCGTTTCCTTTTTTTTTTGTCTTTCGATTTTTTTTTGTTGTTTTGGAAAATACTTTTAACTAATCCTAGCGTACACGCTATGACTTCCGTTTTCACTTGGCTCGTGTGGGCTACTCAACTAAGTTATACCAAAAAACTAAACTAGGTCCGATCAAATTTATGGAGGGGGCGGGGGCTTAAACTAAACTAAAACTAATTTAGCTAATTTACATTCAACTGCCAACGCTCTAATGCTGAACACAGATGGTCAAAAAGCGCGCTGGATAATTGGGTATTTATCGTATCGTAAATTTGTACACAAGGGGTATTTTCGTAATTCTTTTTGTGAGCAAAGTACAGAGCTTTACCGGGAATTAAATTGGGCAAAGAATCTCTAGACATTTGGGCATAGGTTTTCGTTTTTTTTTTTTTGGTGTCTATAAGTAAGTTAAGTCGCCTAGCTCTATGTACAAAACTGAATAATATCAGAGTTTTAAGTAAGAAATAATACATTTCGTGGCACCACAACTTTGTGGGCTGTTTAAGAGCTTAAATAAAGTGATCATTTTGGGGGTAAATGTAACTTAAGAGTTCTATAAACAACATGATAACTTGTGATCGGTTTCTGATCTATATAGTATCACTCTATCTGAGCTATTAAGCACCCAAAGTGTGCATTACAATCTCTAAAGATTCCAGGGTGTGTGTGTTTATATACATAATGGTTGTGTCAATGGGTTCTTAAGGGCTTGTACTTTGCCATCTATATAATAAAGAAATATCTAAAGCAAATTGTGGACTAAAATACAAGTGGTACATGTACGTATTACGTGGACACATGACATGGCTTGGTCAACGACGGGATTACCAGCTCCGCTCTCCGACTGACTGACTGATTTGACTTAGTGGCTACCATGGGGTTATATATATATATATATATACTATATAACTATATAGGGGCTAAACATCGAGGGCTATTTGAGTGCCCAATGTGTACGCTAAGTGTAACGCTCCGTACTTCTAACTGCTTTGCATTTGAGTTGACAATTTTGGCTAGTTTGTTTGTGTGTTTTTGGGAAGGGTTTCATGGGAACACGGGGTAGGGATTGGCTGGCTGGCTGGTTGGTTGGTTGGTTGGCTTCTCGCTAAGCTGGACGTAATTAACTATAACTCTCTCCTCCCTTAACCAGGTATGCTATCGTTCCCGATCCAGTGACGGCTCGCAGACGGCCCAGGCTGATGAGCACGCATCAGTTCTCCGTCTTGATGGCCACCTTCTGCTCGTGCGAGATGCGTATGTGCTCCCGCAGACTGTACTTATTCTTGAAATTCTTATTGCACAGGTCGCACTTGCGCGGCGGTTGTGGGGTATGTTGGGTGCGAATATGTCTCCAAAGATTAACCGTGGTTATAACCATTTTGCAAAACTGACATTCTGTCCACTTATTATTGGGCGAATCTAAAAATATACAGAAAATACGTACAATCAATATAACAGTCTCTATCGATCGATCGATTGCTTGCTCACTAATTTTTCTATTTTTTTTTTTGGAGACATATTCGACAACCACAACAACGAATATATAGAAATAAATATATAACATTTAACAAATGCGCATCAAATGATTAAACGAATCAACAATGAACTACAAGGGGCACAAAATCAAAATGCAGTCCGAGGCCAACGCTTTTCCACAACCACTTGAAGCCATTAACATAACTTAAAGTACAAAGAAATTAAAATGGGTAAAGTATAAACTTATAAAATACTTTAAAACTAAGATATAATCTAGCAATTATAATTATACATAAACACAGGAAATTTAAGAGAACTCATACATTATTCAATTCAATAAACAAAAGCTTATAATTTGATATAGTTTAAGCTAGTTAGGAGATTTTTTTAACAACAGCTTTGGGGATTAACAATTAATCTTGATGAAACCACTCGAAATATCGACCTAAATCCATGGCTTTCAAACTCACCGTTTGTCCCGCTGGCCTTGCTGTCCGATTTGACCGGCGTCACAGACACCGTAGTCGAGGGACCAGTAGTGCCGCCACCGCCACCCGTATCCTCCAGCACCCCGCCGGAATTCGCTCCCGCATTCCCGCCAGCGTTGCTCAGCAATCGGGCTAAAATAAAGTAAGAGTCAATATCTCAAACCCGTCTTGATCTACATCAGTGACTCACTCATCTCAATGGCAATCTCGGCATTGTCCGCATCCGCCTGGTACTTCTCCTCCATTTCGGACTCGGTGAGTATCTCGTACTCGGAGGAGTACTGGGCCACATTCTGGGCCGCTGCGTTGGTGGCATCCTGCGACGTTTGGGGCGTGGCTCCATCCGACAGACGGTCATCCACCTCGCCCACAATATAGTCGGGTATGTCCATCTTGACGGCGCCGCGCAGGAAAGTCATCTCGGCAGCTGAAAGGGGCAAGTAAAGGGGATTATAAAGAATATCCAAAGGATGTATCCTCTCCTGACTTACTTTTCACTATGGTCTGCTCATCCTTGACGGCATAGTCAACGGTTTCGGTGGTGTAGATGTTGTCATCGTCGTCGGAGAAGGTGATCTTGCGCTTCTTGACCGAACTGGCCGCCGGCAGGGCCACCGCATTGGTGATGGTCAGGTGTTGCGTCTGCACAGGCGTTGTCTGTTGCTGCTGGGATTGCTGCTGCTGCTGTTGTTGCTGTTGCTGCTGCTGCTGCTGTTGCGGGGGCGGTGCAGATTGCACTTGAATGTGCTGGATCTGGGTGGTTTGTACATGGTGATGCTGCTGTTGCTGGACCTGCAGCTGCTGTGCGGCTGCCGCTGCGGCTGCAACCACCTGCGATTGCACCTGGCTGGTGGTGGTTGCCTGCAGCAACGTGGCCGTGGGTATTTCGATGGTTTGCGTGGCTGTCTGCGCCTGGGCCACATTGGCCACCTGCTGCTGCTGCTGCTGCTCGTTGACCGCGCGTATGGTGCTCGGTATGGTCTTGATCAGCTTGTGCTCGCTGATCAGCGGCGCCACCGGCATCTGCGGCTTCTCCTTCTCCTCGGCGGTGAGTCCTTGGACGGCCAGCAGTTCGGCGGTCTGCAGGAAGGATTGCAGCGCCTCCTGCTGCACATTGACTTCGCCCTAAAGGTAAATGTAAAAGAGTTAGCATGGTCGGAAATAAACTGAAGAACGAAAAAAAATTGAGAGGCTCGCAATTACCTATAACATCTAAGTTTGAAGCATTTCTTAAGGTTTGTAAATACTTTCTAAGCTACACCCGGGTTTTAAAACTATATCTAGCAGGCTTCTGATAGGCTTTAGTTGGACATTCAATTGAAGTTCCTAAATTACATGTTATTATGCCTCCCCTTTTGGGGTTTCTTAAGGGCACAGGTCATTAAAAATATAAATTATAAACCGAATGGAGGATCCTTAAACTATGTAAAATTAAAGGAAACAACATTGTTTTTGAAAATTTTCGATCTATGCATCTTAAAATTTAAAAAGAAAATCATATAAAATAGGGATATTTAAATAGAGATCCCTATCGTCTTCCTATGTAAATAAACCTCCCTTTTTAAGGTTTCTTGAAGTCACAGCTCATTAAAAATACAACTTTAAACTAATGCCCAAATGGAGGATCCTTAAACCATATAAAAGCCATGATAATAACGTTGTGTTTCTAATGATTGTCGAACTGGCTTGAACTTCAAAAAGGAAATCTCTCAGTGAAGGGATATTTATATGAGTATCTCTAAAGGGGATCGGATAATCCAAAGGAAAATACATATTTTCTAAAAGTAAAATTGAACTTGGATTGAATAGTAAAAGTTACATTATAATTGGATGCCTAATATTATAATTGGCATAACATGAATTTTCTAACAGAGAACACAGTGAAACTCGACAGGTTGCTGGATTATATCGTTCTATGTGATCCTGGTCAAAATCTCAACGAGATGGACTTGTTGTATGGTATGTATTGTATGTTTCAACATAATCGAAGGATGTAATAAAAGAGAACCCCATGAACCTCAACAGGATGTTGGGTTGTGTCATTCCTGGTCCTAATCTCTACAGGATTGAAGTATTTAATGGGCTAGATGGACTCGAACCCACCTGGTACATGAACTCGATGATCGAGTTGAGATCCTCAAACTTGATGAACTTAAAGATAATGACTGGGTGCGGATGGGGGTTCTCCTTGAAGATCTCCTTGAAGTACGACGAGCAGGACGAGAGCACCACCTTGTGGGCCTTGATCCTGCGTCCATCGACGCAGAGGCTGACGTCCACGAAGTCATCGTTCAGCCGGTGGTTGTCCAGGGAGTAGGTGAGGTGGCGCAGGTAGTTGTTCCACCGCAGCGAATATTGCTGGGTGGTGGCCATCGCGGCGTCCTCTTTGGGTCCACCTCCTGTCCCCACTCCTCTTCCGCTTCCTCTTCCTCCTTCTCCTTCTCCCTCTCCTTATCTTCCGCTTCCGCTTCCGCTTCCCTGCGCTCTGCCTCTTTCCAGTCCAATCCAATTAGCGGTAATTCCCGGGAAGGGGGAAGCTGCCCGCCTTGGAAGCGCCCTAACAACAAAAAGTGGCGAATATGGGAACTCCTCCGGTTCTGTTGGCCCTTCCAACGCGAAACGGCGAAATGCGGTTCCCTTCCAGCGGATCCCGATCCCTTGGCAAAAATCGTTCGCACTGCCTGTTTTGTCCGCTTTTACGGCGTTTGTTTACGGCGTTTCGTGCACACACAAATACGAATTTTTTATATTCTATGCCAAACAAAAATATTATACGCCTCCATTTTGTTTTTTGCCAATTTCAGAGCAACCCTGCGTGCGTTGCCACTCCAATGGGACTGCCACTCGCACCGCCAGGTGGCGTGCAGGCAGTGCTGCCAGATTGGCGGAAGAAAAGGCGGGAAATTCAAAAATTAGAAGAAAATAATATTTTATCCATAACTTATTTTGGAATAATAAACACAGCTTTATCATATTCTGATTTAAATTTTATTTTTAATGAAAGTAAACACCTAACAAATAAGGAATATTCAAACATTAATAGCTACTTTAGAATTTTAAACACAGTTTTGTAAAATTCTGATTTAAATTTTATTGTAAATGCAAGTAATCACTTAACAAGTAAATTGTTTAAGTACACAGAATTTAACCAATGCCAAAATATTTAAATATTTTTAATGTCTCAAAAACTCTGCTACCACAGGCTGACTAAAAATCGGAAAATCAAGCGCAGCAGAAAGCTATAGACGATGCCTCGGCATAAAAAGTCAAGGACGTAGAAGATCTTCACGCGGAATCGGGCGGCACTGCTGCTTTCAGGACTCTCCTTCAAAAGGAACTCCTTGGCACCCCGGATTCCGTGTTGGAAAAATTCCGTATAGTTGATATTTGCGTGCTGCATGAAGCCAAAGGTCGAACTAAAAATAAAAAGAATTTGAGTTTTACCTTAATATCATAACATTTTAAAATATTATGTGGTTTCTTATATTTTCCTTTGAATTTGCTCATAGTTATAAATATAACTAAGCTTCAAGGATATTTCTGATTTCCTTTTTTTAAGCTAGCATTTTTTTTTTGGTAAAAGAACTCACATTTCATTGGCCGGAACTATATCGTGCAATGCCCGGAAATTGTTATTCTGGAAATGCCACTCGGTCATTGCAAACACTTGCAAAGCACTGAAGGCGGCGAAAATACGACGTTGCAGCTTCATGAGGCTGGAAAATAATTAAAGGAAATTATATATACATATTAAACTTCCTCTTCAAATCCGTTCCAACTTACAAAGGCTTTTCATTATAGAGACGGAGCAAAGTGTCCACAACGACGGCCATCAAAAGATGCATGGTGCAAAACTAGAAATATAATAGATGTAAATTACTATAAAAAATAGGTACTATATAAAGGTTCTAGAAAGGCAAAGAGACTAAAAAAAACATTTAAAAATCAGATTGTACACTTTTGGTTTTATTATAATCTATTCCTCAAGAAAAATGTTAATGTAAATCTGATGATATGATCATAAGATATGAAAATCCCTATTTAGAACCTACTATAGTTTTTGAAATAATATATATATATACTTATGGGCTGAAATACTGTTCTAGATTATAATAATGGATTTTCCCATCCCCATATAACCCCAAAACCTCACCCGAACGAAGTGAAGAACTGGACAGGTCGTCATTCCGCCACCCGGTAGCCAAAGGGTCTTCTCGAAGGGATTCTTCCTTATAAAAGTCTTTCCGATCTCGATCACCTCGCCCATGGTAATCGGCGAAATATTCGCCGTAGCGCAGTTAACTACGTACAATTCACTATCGTTATCCCTTGATTTCGATTCCCCCATAAATTTGTACACAGCAGTGATCAATGTGCGGGCCACAATATCGGCGGGCACGAAATCGGCCACAATATTTGGATCACAGTTTTGGGAGCGGAGAATACCCACTCCGCAGGCCACCAAAAGACCCGTGGGTCCATTAAAGTTGTCCGCCCAGCCGGGCACGGGTTCCTCAATCGTAGAGACCACTGTTAAACAAAGAGATCCCAATTTAATTGGTATTATATTTAGAAATAAAATAATATTACCAATTGATGGCCTAAAGATAAATATGGGCAGCTTATCCCTGTACTCATTGACCACCTGCTCGGCCAAACTTTTTGTGAAGGTGTACGTATTGGGCTGGAAGTTTCCGTACCTGTAATTTATGACATGATATCATATCATTTTCCAATAAACATAAGTTTACCAATTTACTCACTTGAGATTGAAGATGTTTAGGATCTCCTCGTCATAGGTCTCCGCCAATTTGATGGTGGTACGCCAATCGGCCAGCGGTGGATAGACACGCTCCTCCACTTCCAGGACTCCCGGATTCGAGTACGTGGTGGACACATGGACAAAGGCCTTGAGTTTGCGCCATTCCAAGGCCAACTTGACCAGTTCGTGGGTACCACGGGTGTTCATAAGAATGGCTGTTCTCAAGGCATCATCGAATCTAAACAGCAAAATATTAATTTTATTGATTTCCTATATCATATATGATTGATTTGTAAATAGTTCCAGTAAAAAGTACCAGAAAAAATGTCATATTGATATGATACGATGATATTTTATGATAAGATATGATATGATAATTTTTTTATCCAGTTTTTTATCTTTTTAGGTATTTACCAACACTGAAAAATTTCTGGATATTATACCTACCGCACACTGGCTGCCGAGTGATAGACAATGTTCACATTACGTAGCCGTTCGAGGTCTGCCTTACTTATTCCCAAGCCCAACTGCTCCACATCGCCGGCTATAGCCACCAATTTGGATCGGCCATTGGGCTGTTCCCTTCGCAGGCGTTCATATAGCTTCGACTCCCACTGGAGTTGCAGACGCTCCTCAATGGAGAGCCCCTTTTTGGGCCGCATCAGGACGTAAATCCGGCCCAATTTTGGACAGGAGCGCAATAGCTTTTCGATCAGGGCCTTGCCCACAAAGCCTAAACGAAAATATAGATAAAATAACTTTGAAATTTTGAATATAAGAATTTTTATAAATTTATTTGGAACTTTGGTATCAGAAATTGGCGGATTCAGCAAGATAGAACTGGATTTTTACCCACCCGATGCGCCTGTGACAAAGATTTCCTGATCCTTAAAAGCTTCCGGTATAGTCATTGTGTTTCCGTTTTTGGGTTCCCTATACCGTATAACACTCCGCACTTGTCGCTGTTCCAAGAGGTTCTGTGCGAAGTACGGCGTACTCAAGGCGGGATATTCAAATCCGGGCAATCACGCCGCTGACCTTTGGCTGATACGGATCACATTGCTGAATATTCAGGTATAGGCTTACTTTGTATGCGTAGAGCACTATTCCCTGTAAACAGCAGGCGTTTTAAGACATCTTTTGGAAACCAGCATTTTTATTTTTTTGCGAAATAAATTAAATGCTCTTTTTTAAACCCTAGCTTGTTAGATAAAAAAGAACTTGATAAAAATAATAGGTTAAAAAAGATTTTATATTTGTTAAAATATATATATTTTTTATTATCGCATAAGATTTTTAGCAAGGGGTATCTCTCATTCGATCAGGTTGGATAGTTAGGAACCACTAACTATTTTAAAACCCTCAAGGTGCTACGAAATCCGCTGCGAAAGAAAAAAACAAAGGAGAACAGCTATAAACAGCACAAGAAGAAGAACAAGATCAACAAAAACGGAACCGTTGAACCCCAAGAATCAAAGGAGAAAGCACAATAAGATAAGTTTTACCGTAGCACCGACCACCAAATCAAGCAAAACCCATAATTACACTTGAAAAAATTAAAAATAAAAAGAAATATTTTTTAATTAGTAATGAAAGCTTGTAAATATGTATACAAAATTAAAGTCAAAATGCTTTGTTGATTATCCATCTTCCAATATTACATTTCAGATTTGCACATGATATTTTATTTTTTGATCACTTAATAACTCTTTTTAAATACCTTTTTGTTCAGTGTAATGCGTGCGACAGAGATAGACAGATGGGTTCTCCTTTTCTTTGGCCCCATGAATGGAAAATGGCTGGGAAAAACCGGATAAGCGCCGATTGGAGCCGCTTCTTTTGGCCACAAGTGGCTGATAAAACTATGCCGGCGATTTGTGTTAGCGTGTTTGCCTTATTATCTTCGTTTTTATTTGGATCTTGGCCATTTAAAACGGCGTTTTAATCGCGCCATTAGCATGCGTGTGCGTGCGTGCGAGCGAGACAACAACAGCTGATCTGCACAGCCTCAGTTCAGCGACCTCGTGTCACCTCCCTCTCTTTCCCCACAAATCAACCGTTGCAATAACGGTACTTGACAAATACATACACATGGTATACCAAATAGTTCGCTTGTAGTTGTTTCATTTCTTTTTTTCAGTTGCATTTTCACATTTTAATTAACATTTTCAGGCGTAAACTTATCATTCGATACGCATGCAATTAGAAAAGTGTACAAATCAAAAAAAATACATATGCTTGTATGCTTGAATGTGTGTGAATATCGCACGCGAAACTGCAGCCAAGTGTAAGTGAGTGTGTGTGTGTATGTGGGTGATTTTTGCCGGCCGGCAAAAAAGTAGGAGCGAGAGAGAGACAGAGAGTGAGAGGGAGGACGAGGAGAGCAGCAGAGAGCAAGAGAAAGAGAGAGCGGGGAGGAAAGAGAAGACGGTTTTGATTTTCCTTTTTGTTTTCATATTTTTGTTTCACTTTGTTTATAATTACATCATAATTAAAAAATAATACATAAGGTTGCTGACGAATTGTACAAAACGCTAGTGTGTTGTTTGTGTTTTGCAATGTGTGTGTGTTCTTTTTACGCTTTGGGGAATATCTTTTTCTTCTTCTTCATCTTGATGTCCTTGTCATGCCGCGAGCGTGTGTGTGAGTGTGGGTGTGCGTATGTGTGTGTTTGTGTGTGTGTGGAATGGCAGAATATGCTTTTCGCTCATTTTCATTTTGCTTTTTTTTGAAGTTTGTTATATTAAAGGTTTACAAATAAAAAAAAAACAAAAAATACATAGTATATCATATAATATGTAAAGTGGAATAAATTAATTAAATTAATATGCTGGAACCACACAACACGCGCCCAAAAACGATGATGATAATATATGATGATGGTGTGCAGGCGGTTCCGCTCTTTTCATCTTGTAGTTGGTGTTGTTGTTGATCTTGTTGTTGTGCTGCACTCCAAACTTCCACCACTCGCACTTGCACTTTCGCTGCTGCTTCCTCGACTTCTCCTCCTTCTCCTTCTCCTCCAGAATCAAGACGATCCTGCTCCT